CGAATTATCACTATCAACAAACCAATGACACCCAAAGCCAAACCCCATACCGAACCTTCACCAATCTAGGTCGACCCATTGATTAATTATATGAGCAGCTCAAAGCCGCGGGGAAAATTGGTACGGTACCTCCCAAAACCTATCCTAAAGGATTTCCACTTGGTTATGATCTTCAAACCTTTTACGTTTATCATTCGGGAGCTCCTGGACATTCAACTGCCAATTGTTGGGCACTTAAACATAAAATTCAAGACATGATTGATGTTGGAGACATAGTTCTGAGATAGAGAGATGAGCAATGACTAAGTGTTAGTAAGAACCCTCTTCATACACACAAAGATACCGTTGGAGCTATTACTATAGATGAGAAGATCGAGGAACCTACGCAATACATTCTGGATGAAGCCGAGATAATGGGGGTCATTGGAGAGCCATTCATACTAGAGGAGGAAGCCTACGAAGTTAACGAAAATACTGATCCTTTTATTCTAGATGTGATACCTTTCGAATGTGAGCTTCTAGAGCTTGTAGTACTTGAATTGCTTGAACAAACTCCTGTTCTTAATCTACAAGAGGTCCCATGGAATTATTGCTAGCCGACACTATTAATTGGAGGAGAAGAAGTGCCCAAGAAGCAGGTGGCTGCCATCACTAGATCTGGGAGAATCGTAGGTGGACCCGTAGTTCATGAACCCTCAAAAGCAAAGGAAAATGTCGCGCCAACCAGATTAACTGTGACTGCAGAAGAGGCATTCAATTTTCTTAGAATGTTGAAGAAGAGCGAGTATAAAATGATCGAGCAATTGGATAAAATGCCCACCCAAATTTTCATGTTGAACTTCCTTTTAACCTCTGAACTTCATAGAGAGGCATTACTCAAGGTGTTAACTAAGGCTCAAGTGCTTAAGAATATCCCGGTTGACAAATTCACCCACGTAATTGAACATGTTTTAGCTTCCAATCAGATTTCTTTTTTTGACGAAAATTTAACCTCCGAAGGGATTGGACACAACAAAGCACTGTATATCTCGGTCCATTATAATGGGAAGTTATTGTCAAGAGTTCTGATAGACAACAGATCTACATTAAACATCTGTCCACGGAATACCTTGGTTAAGTTGGGATTTTAAGAAGCTAAACTTCGCCAGTCTACAACCGTTTGAGAGGATTTGATGGCGCGAAAAGAGAATCAATGGGGAAAGTGGATTTAGTTCTAGAAATCGGACTCACACAGTTCCAAGTCATATGCCAAGTTATGGATTTCTCGAGTGTTTATAATATTCTACTTGGACGACCTTGGATTTATACTTCGGGTGCGATACCATCTTCGCTCCATTAGATGTTGAGGTTTGTGGTAAATGGACAATTGATCATGGTGTTTGCAAAGAATGATTGCACTATGATCATCAATCCCGCATCGGAAGAGGGAAGTGATAGAAAAGTTCTGGTTTCTCTTCACCACGTGGCTGATATTGTCTCAATAGGTTGGGTATCTAAGGAAAAGGCAGTGGTGGGGATGACTTTGTCAGAAGCCAGTGTTATGATGGTTAAAGAAATTATTCGGGGAGGATATGAGATAGACAAGGGTCTCGGGCGTAATCTGTAAGGTGTGCTAGAACTAATAGAGTTTCAGGAAAAGAATGATACCTTTGGACTAGGTTTTCAATCTACTGCCAAGGACAAGAAAGAAATGATGGACCGTAAAAGAGCGGAGAAGGACGGAAAACAAGTTATCAGGAGTATCCCATCGTTGTACTGTACTTTTCCTTATCCATTAAAGGTGATTAGATCTGAAATGGACCCGGTCGAGGAGGTGGATATTGATCTGTCTGAGCTATTTGTGGGGGTTACTTATAAGGACGAGCCGTCAAAGGATACAGAATTTCTAAAGGTTCCCGTGGAAGCAATGATGAATTGGACCAGTGATTTCCTTCCCTCTCGAAGGGAATTTCGGTAAATTTAGGGGATTGTCTTTGGTTGAGAAATCTGAAAGAAATCATATGCACTATTCGTCTTTTACATTTCAGTTTTGTAAATAGTTTTGAATCAAATGGCTTTCAATACAAGTCTTATGTTACATAGCATCTATTTTAATTAAGAAGTATATTATGATATTTTGTCCTTTATTTGAAATTCAATGAAATCCACAGTGTTTATTTTTCTAAATTATTTTACTTAAGTATTGTTGTATCTATTTCATTCTTTACAAATGGCCAAAAATAAAACACATTGACCATTTGGATATCAATATTCCGGAATTTGATGATTGCAATCTCGATATCTCTCACGAATTTGAAATTATGGAATCAGAAATTCAAGACGAGAGCGATAACGAGGAAGAATCAGAATCTTTGTTAAAGAATCTTGAACACTATGAAGAGAAACCCAAATCGAACTTAGAAGAGATAGAAACCATTAATATTGGCACTAAGATGGAGGTTAAAAAAATCAAAATCAGTGTGCACTTGAATAAGGGGCAGAGAAAAGAAATGATTGAATTCTTAACTATGTTTCAAGATGTGTTTGCATGGTCGTATGATGATAGGCCTGAAATTTCAACAGATATAGTGATCCATTGATTACCGACTGATCCAAATTTTCCGCCAGTGAAGTAAAAACCGCGAAAGTTTAAGCCAGATATGAGTCTCAAAATCAAGAAACAGATCGAGAAGCAGCTCAATGCTAGAATCATTATGGTGTCTCATTATCCCATTTGGCTTTCCAATCCCGTACCTGTTCCGAAAAAAAAGTGGAGAAGTGATCTCAATAAAGCTAGTCTGAAAGACGATTTTTCCGTTGCCAAACATTCATATTTTTCTGGACAATACCGCAGGACATGTAATCGAATCATTCACTGACTATTTTGTCGGGTATCACCAGATCTTACTGGCTGAGGAGGATAGAGAGAAGACTGCTTTCATTACTCCGTGAGGAACCTTCTGCTATCGGATAATGCCGTTTGGATTAAAGAATGCTGAAACTACTTATCAACGGACTATGATCACTTTGTTCCATGATATGATTCATAAGGAGATGGAGGTTTACGTGGACAATATTATCATTAAATCTAAGAAAGTTGAGGATCATCTGATGGACTTAAAGAAATTGTTCAAAAGATTGAGAAAGTACAACTTGAAACTGAATCCTGCAAAGTGTGCTTTTGGAGCTACTGCCGGAAAATTATTAGGATTTATTGTCAGTAAAAAGGGAGATGCCTATACCGAAGACTCGAAAGGATATGAAGAGCTTTTTGAGAAAGATCAATTTTATCGGCATATTTGTTGCTCAGTTAACAGCCACATGTGAGCCTTTGTTCAATTTATTAAAAAAGAATGCATCAATGCACTGGAACAAAAAATGTCAGCAAGCTTTCGACAAGATCAAAGATTATCTGTTGAATCCTCCGATTTTAGTGCCATCCAAACCCAGTCGACCTCTGATCATGTACCTATCTGTGTTGGATGAAGCTATGGGATGCGTATTGGGACAACACGATGAGTCGGAAAAGAAGGAGCAAGCCATCTATTATCTCAGCAAGAAGTTCACTGCATATGAGGCCAACTATTCTTTTCTTGAGAGGAGTTGCTGTGCTTTAGTTTGAGCCGCTCAAAAGTTAAGGCATTACTTGTTCAGTCATACTACCTACATCATTTTTCGCTCCAACCTTTTGAAATATTTGTTAGGAAAACCTACGCCAACGGGATGTATGGCAAAATGGCAGATGGTTTTTTCAGAATTCGACATCATTTTTACTACGCAAAAGGCAATCAAGAGTCAAGCTGTAGCAGATCATTTGGCAGAAAATCCACTAGAGGATGATTATCAACCGCTTCACACTTATTTTCCAGATGAAGAGATCCTATTCATTGGTATGGCGGATGATATGAATGAGCGATGCTTTGAGTGGAAGCTATTCTTTGACGGCGCTTCAAATTCTTTCGGAGCGGGTATTGGAACTATTCTAGTGTCGCCTGAGGGAAAACATTACCCCGGTTCTACTAAGTTGCGATTTTTCTGCACTAACAATATGGCGGAGTATAAGGCTTGTATTTTTGAACTCAAAATGGTGCTAGAGATGGAGATTAAAGATTTAATAGTGTTCAGCAATTCCGATTTGGTCGTGCATCAAACACTCAAAGAATGGATCACTCGGGATTCAAAAATCTTGCCCTATCATTGCAGTTTACTAGATTTAGCAAACAAATTCAGAAGTTTAGAGTTCAGACATATTCCACGTGCCAGAAATGTTTTCGTTGATGCTTTGGCTATTTTATCTTCTATGATTCAACATCCAGACGAGTTGGTGATCGAACCTATCCAGATGCAGCTACAAGAAAAGCCTGCACATTGCCTAGTTGCGGAAAAATCTTCTGATGGCTGTCCCTGGTATAGCGATATTAAGGAATTTCTTAAAATGGGGTTCTATCCTCTAGGGGCTGATTCGAATGCTAAAATCTTCTTGCGCAGATTATCATCCAAATTTATCTTGAACAGAGAGGTGGTCTACAAAAGGACGTCAGACTTGGGCTTTCTGAGGTGTGTTGATGATGATGAAGCAGAATATTTAATGAAAGAAGTGCACAGTGGCGTATGTGGATCACATATGAATGGCCATTTATTAGCAAAGAAAATTATGAGGACGGGCTATTTTTGGCTTACCATGGAGCATGATTGTGTAGTTTTGTCAGAAAATGCATTAAATGTCAATTGCATGGGGATGTCATGCGCACTCCCCCCACAGAATTACACAGTATGATTGCTCCCTGGCCATGTTCAATATGGGGTATGGATGTAATTGGAGCCATTGACCCTCCTGCTTCAAATGGACATTGTTTTATTTTGGTGGCAATCGAATACTTTATCAAATGGGTTGAAGCTGAGTCTTACAAGCATGTAACTAAGAAAGTGGTGACCGATTTTCTGAGAAAACACATCATTTGTCATTTTGGTGTGTGTCAGAAACATTAATCACCGATAATGCCAAGAATCTCAACAATGACATGGTGGATGGATTGTGCGAGCAATTCAAGATCAAACATCAGAATTCCACTATTTATAGACCACAAATGAACGGATCTGTGGAGGCCGCGAATAAGAACTTGAAGAAGATAATCCGTAAAATGACTGAAAGGCATCATGACTGGCACGAAAAGCTCCCCTATGCATTAATGGCGTATAGAACTGCTATTCGGACTTCTACCGGGGCAACGCCTTATAATCTCATGTACGGAATGGAAGCAGTTTTGCTAGTTGAGGTCGAAATTCCTTCATTGCACATACTAATGGAGGCCAAATTGGATGAGGCTGATTGGATTAATGTGAGAACTCGCAAATTTCTTATATTTTTCTCAAAAATGCCTTTTTATTTAGAAATTATTCCTTTATTATAGCCCTACTACCCAATCATTCTCCAATAAGTGCAAATGAATCTAGAAAGTAGGGTTTCACTCTTCGTTTTCAAAATTGGAGCAAATTAGGGTTTTCACGATTTTCGCCGGATCATTTTTCGGTACGGAGCGAGAATCAAATTTGGTGATTAAAAGTGACTTTTAAGTGAGAAATAATATGTGATTAGGAGCAATGATATAAGATTAGTGAATAGGAAGTAAAAACCCTAGTACGGGTGTTTTAAAGAAAAACGGTGTGAACCGACGTGTACCGCACACTACCGATTGAACACACCACTGGACCACCACTTTCTTACCACATGAGCTCATTGATATTTGAGCAAAATATCCCTTCATTTCCAGCTGCCTTTGACCGAAATTTGTGGCCAAAAATGTAAGGGAGAGAGAGAAAAATTTGCATGGCTTTGGTGGCGCCAAGTGTCACCACCTCATGGCTCCTTAATTAATTTTTTTTTCTTGCCTTTTATCCTTCACTTCAGCCATCTTTCTTCTTCATTTTTTCTGGTCTTGGCCAAGCAAGAGAGAGAGAAAGGGAGAGCAAGAGAAAACAAATTCCTTCTTGATTTACACCAACCAAGTGCTAAAATCGAATTCTAAACCGATTGATTGTAAGTTTGGAAGCTTGGGAAGCTAAGGGAACCAAAAACTTCAAGAAATAGTGGAGGATCACTCTTGCAAGCCTTCTTTTTGAGGTATAAAATCTGATCTATGGCTTTGATCCTTTTATTCTTGTTTAAGATGTTAAATAGTCCATGTTTTGGGTTTGATTACAAGTGATGCAAGTTGTTGTGGTGATTTTTGGATGAAATATGTAAGTTAGAGTTTGATTAATTTCTGCCTAAACTTGTTGTATAGTTAGTATATGTTGTATATAAGGTTATATAGGGGGTTTTGGTAGCAAGTGTAGCAAGAAATTAAGAAAACTATCATTGAAACCAAAAGATTTCAGATTTCTGGAAATTTTCATCCTATTCTGTCCGAATTTGAATCCCTATGTTAGAGGCCGAATTGGCCTTAGGTCAAAGAAGGAAAGTTGTAGAGAATGGTATTTTATAGGTGTCTACAAAATTTCAGCTCAATCGGAGCAATGTAAGATGTGAAAAGTCCAAAATACCCTTACTGTTTTAAGTATTTCCCAAGCAGTCCGTGTGATCAGTTAAGTCCAGTTTATCACGTTTTTCGACTAGGATCCATTCTGATTTAGCTTTTTTCCAAAACATGAAAGTTGTAGTATTCTGAATTAGCTTTCAAATGCCTCTAAGAACACCTGATTTCGGACTTGTGTACTCTGAGATATGTCCATTACAGTGTTCTGCGTTTAAACAGCCGACGAATTGGTTTCTGGTTTAGTAATTTGAGAATTTGACTAAGTTACATTAGGAACTGGACTAAGTGACCTTCATGAATGTTGTAACTCTGTGTCTTAGCTTCGAAACGGCATAGGTTTTGTCTCAATCCGATAAGCGTAACTTCGGATATGTTATTTCCGCATTCGTACGTCAAATCTGTCTTGTGCTAAGTTGAATTTCTGCACTTGTGATTGTTGTAATTCTTATTCTTATGATATTGTGAGCCTATGGAACGGCTCTTGACTTGAATTGCTTATGAGTGATGTTGGGTTGTGGTTGAGGAAAAATAATGAAGCCAAAATGGCTGGAAAATTAGGTAAACACAAAGGGCGTGCTGCCCAAATTTTCGCTCGAGGGCTAGGTTTCTATTTGAACTTGTATACTTTTGTTTGGCCAATACCATGACCGGTTTTCCATTTTAAAACATGATTTTTCATCCTGGGGTTCAAACAACCCTCTTCTTACTTGAAAGTCATCTTTACACGTTTTACTCCTAATTAGTCGGGTTTCTTTGTTTCCCTTAAATGTTTTGCTCGATAAACTGTAATATGTTCTCTTGTTCAACCTTAGGTTTCATTGGTGACTAAGGGTAATATCCGGAAGGATATTTTGCACGTTATTTTGCATATCTAGGTGAGTGTTCCTTGTTTGTTATATTCTCCCGGACTTCATGACTTGTTGTTGTTGTTTGATAATGTGTTAAGTGCTTTCAAGGATTTCTAAAACGAGTTTTCTAGGCGAGCGTGTACTTTATCGCGCTCGACCTTAATGAAACGTGAAATTTTCAATGATTTAATGATGGAAACATTAGTTGCGCATGATGTAAACCTTTTGGCTGAATTGGGCCCTGCCCTTCGTTACCGATCGACTCGAGCCAGAAGCGGACTCGGTCGGGCGATATGGTGACCCTGGGTGAATTTGGTATACTCGAGTATTACCTTGTAGTCCGGCTACGTCCGGATGGGTGGAGTCCGGCCAATGGTCGGATGGGTGGAGTCCGGTCAACGTCCGGAAAAGGGGATGAACGAACAAAAGGATGAACGAGGGATTCTACTTACAAAAAATGTATTTTCAAACGATTGGAGGAATAAGGGGAAATGTCAGGGGAACGACCGAACAAACGAATAGCTCCATGTGAGCCCGTATCCTTTTAATGAATGTTACTATCGCTTTCCATTGTAAATGTTCCTTGAATTATTAATACTCCATGTTTAATGTATTGAATTGATTGTTGATTATCTGTTCGGAACCTCACTGAGCTTTTAGCTCACCCCTTTAGTTTTGTTTTCCTTAACAGGGGACGGCGAGCAGGATGAGAGCATAGACTAGCCTAGTCTAGGTATTTTGTTTCTTTTGTAATGGTTCTCGCCCTAGTGCTTGGCACGGGCTGGTTGTATGGTGAAGTGAGAACCTTTGTACATTTGATGGTTGTACTTCCTTTTGAGATAGCAATATATATAAGTTCCGCTTTAAGTTTGGATTGCTGCCCTATTTATTCTTGTGATTTATTCTGGATTTGATTAAGGAACGACTGAGTCCCGGCGAGAGCCGGGCAGGCGACTCGCCAAACCCTTTGGTTCGCCTTAGGGGGAGGTGGGGCCGTCACAATTAAACAACGTCATGAGCAGTTATCTTTAATCGACGAGAAAAAGTTAAATGCCATTTGTCATAAATAAATGACAAAAATGAAAAAAGAACTTAAAAAATACTAAAATTTGGTGTCTACACCTGTTATTTGTGATCATTCTCGAATTTCTGTGTCCATGCAAGATAACTGAGTTTTGGCTGTTTTAGGCTTAAACTTTTCAAATTTCACAAGTTTTGAACTAGGCATGATAGTTATAAGAATGTTGTAGCAGCACTTGGACCGGAAGCTTGAGGGGAATCCAATCAAAACGGTATAGGAGAAGTTAGAGAAAGTTAAAGTTGCTTTGAAGAAACTTAATGGTGATTTCGTTAGCAGCATTAGTGAAAGAGTGGAGCAAACGAAAGTTTTGCTTCATACTGTACAAAGTTTACATTGTAACAAACCATTTGGTGCCAAGTTCATTTAGAAGCAGAAATCTTTGACAGTGGAACATGCCGAACTTTTGATATTTGAGGAGCAATTTTTTAAGAATAACTCTCGTATTCAATGCTTAAAAGATGGGGACTGAAAAATAAGCTACTTCTGTAGGAAGGTATCTAATCACACTACTAGAAACAAATTTTTGACGTTGAAGAATGACGAAGATGAAATAGTGGAGGATTATGAATAAACAAAGACAACCGTAATGAAATATTGTCACAATCTATTTGGAAAAATAAGTGAATTTCACGGTCAATATAGGTTCAAGCAAATTATTACTGACTTTATTTCAAACAGGTGAATTGCAAGCTCGTATTACGGAAGAGGAAATTAAGCAAGTGATTTTTAGGATGAAACCAGGAAAAGCCCCAGGGCCTAATGGTTTTACAATGGAATTTTTAAAGAAGAGCTGGGATATTGTAATTGAAGCTTTGAAATTTTGTTTTGATCATGAGTGTATGTACTATTCTCTGAAGTGCACTACTACTACTCTTGTCTCTAAGGTGCCTAATGCTATGTAGATGACAGATTTTACACCAATATCATGTTGTAATGTACTCTACAAGTGTTACGCTTACGTTCTTGCTGCTAGATTGAAGAGAGTCCTGCCTACCTTGATTTCTAAAGTGCAAAATACTTTTGTTAAAGGAAAGCATCTCATAGCATCCATGATTTTGCATGAACTTGTAAGAGGTTACCACAGGAGCGGAGGCAAGCCTAGAGCTGTTATTAAAGTTGATTTAATGAAAGCGTATCATAAAGCTGATTGGGAATTTTCGTTTTCTGCTATGTGCAATATGGGCTTTCCTATGTTATTCTTGTCCTGGAATAGAATATGTTTCACAATTTTCTATCAATCTGAATGGCTCCTTATTAGGTTTCTTTCATAGTGAAAGAGAAATGAGACAACGGGATCTGGTCTTTTGCTGAAGAATTTAAGGTTGATGGAACATATATGCCCTCATTATTAGGTTTCTTCCAACAGTTGGGGCTTTATATCTCAAAACTTTCAAACATTTGCTGAAGAATTTAAGGTTGACCAAGGATCAAAGGTAGCTAAATTCATTGATTGTGATAGGTGGAAGTAGCCCTCTGTGAGAAGGTCATAGGAGATCAAGGAACCGTGTCAATTAACTCCTTATTCTATTACAAAATTTACATAGGGATGATCATGTAAACTGGACCGAAAACTTTATCTGGTGAGTTTACCATTAAATCTGTGCTTAAACAGCTTATTGAACCTAGAAACAGGATGCAGCGTTATACATTAGTGTGGGGGCAAGGGTATATCCCACAATATGCGTTTATTTTGTGGCTAGTAGCCAGGAATCGATCAAACATTAAAGCAAGACTGAGAATTTGGGAATTTGCTATATCTTTTGCTTGTGGTTTCTGTGATATATATGATGAAACACAAGAATATTTGTTTTTTGAATGTGACTTTGCTCATAGTGTTTTGGGGATGACTCAGAAGTTGTCGATTAATCCTTCGAGCAAGACTGA